TTCTTAACAAGTTCTTAGTCTTTTCCAAGGTTTATCTTTATATATAGCTTCTTTTGCATGCTCATGTTCATGTCAATGTTAGGACAAATCTTAAAGAAACTGTTGAAAAAAGATGCATGTTGTTTGGCATTGGTACATTGCATTATATAGAGTAATCGGTGTTTTAAATCCTTCGAATATTATAGGCAAGTTTGCTGATAATGCTGAGATTCACTTTGCATCACGAAAGAAAGTTCGGATTTTGTCTAATGCCGGAAAATAAGTTTCTTCAATCTTATTACAGCATTTTCTCCAGTCGAGCGATTTTGATCAGAGCTTGATACTTGTCTGATTCATTGTCTTTCTTGGTTTACTCGGTTAACACCATTGTTCTTCTGCTCAAATTTGTTCTTATTTCATAAAAACTGTTGTTCTTCTGCTCAGATTCTGAGTGCATCAAGGCTGGTTAAGTGCAAGTGCAGTTCAAAAGTTTAACCCAACAGATTGTGTTCTTGAGAGTGTTAAACTCTAGAGGATATACTTTTGAAGACAAAGTATCATATATCTGATGTTTTTTTAAAAACACGGAACTGATAACTGAATATATATATCTTCAGAACTTTGTATCAACTCTTGTTTATGTCTTGAATACAAACAATGTACAGAAAAATCGAGAAAAAAACCGAGTACATAATTTCAGGGTTCGATTTGTTTATACTAGTGCGGAAATTTTTCGGTTCCTTTTGGTTCTATGTTGCGGTGCGATTCAATTATAATTTTTGACAAGATTTTTTTTTTTTTTTCGATTTTTTGCGATTCTGTACAGCTCACCCTATTTTAGACACATGCTTTTTGGACCTAAGAAAACCAGAAAATTCACAATCAGAATCAGTTATCATCAATTTACAATGTTAAAAAAAAAGTCATTACATGGACTAATGATCATTGTATCCACATAAATATGCATGTGTCGCTTATTAAAATCAATTATTTATATACCAACAATAGGGGTTGGTTGAAGTTGTAAGCAATTTGATGTCGCTTAAGCAAGGTCTCGGGTTCGAGTCCTCGTGAATGTAGAAAACACTTGTTGGGAGATTCACCCACCACTGTCAGGTGTGCGACCCGGGTCGACCAACGAATTAGTCGGATCATAACTCCGGATACCATGGTTGGCTACCAAAAAAAAAAAAATCAATTATTTATATAGAGATACACAAAATCATTGACCAGAATCTACATTGCATCAGTTACATAGTCCCTACTTTTCACATTAATCAAAATGTAATAAACAAATAACGCCCTTCCATCCTTGTGGTTCTACCCGGCTCGATTCCAGATTAATCGGTTTCCCTATGGATTCGGAAACCGGAAGGTCCTTGTACCAAAAAAAAAGAAGGTCCTTCCATATTTGGACAATTTTCATGTTTCTACACTTTATTTAAATTCCTCTTTAACAACAAATCCATGAATCATGCAGAGAATATTGACTGCAGAAAAATACAGGCCAAAAAAAAAAAAAAAAATCCTCTTCAAAATCAGTCAAAATCAAGCTGTTTTTTCACTTTAACAACACAAAAGTTTGTTCAAATAATTTTGTCAAAGAATGTAAAAGACAAAAACAGTTAGTTACCTCAAAAAGTCCAAAACACAGCACAAAAGAGGACCCAAAAATTCAAGACAACCTCATTGATTTCATGCCCAATTCCTATCAATAAAAATGTGAACCCCAAAACAAACCCATCACACAAAACTTCACATTGCAAACACACACTCTCCATGTGAATGTTCATTTCAAGCTTCTAAAACACCCTCATAAAGAACCCCTCAAAAGTTCACAGTACTACTAAACACAAAGAGAGCTGAGCAATGGCTGTACAAATTTTCAAAAAATGCAGTCAAAAGCTTCGGAAGTTGATGCGAATGAAGGCAAACGAGCGTGGTGACTCGAAATCGAAACCTCAGCCAATCCAATGTGACGAGCTTTTCTTACGGTCGACCAAGAAAAAAGCTAATTTATCGGGAAATGAAGGTGGAATCGAGTCGATCGACCGACTTATCATAAGTCACCAAATTGATGCACAGAGTCATTTTTCAATGAGGCCTAACATCTACATCTGAGAAGATCTAACGAAAGGCTAATATTCGATTTCTTGTAGTTTATATTCGCCTTTTTTTCTCTTTCGAGACACATAAATCCAGTGTTGTTGCTTTGTTTACAATAGTTTCGAATTCGATTAGAAAATAAAAGTGGATCAGCCTTTGCTTATCGTGCTTAGTACTTGATTTTTCATTAGAAAAAATTTCAATTAGCACTGGAGCTCGCTCGGGTGATTTTAAAAAGTGGATCAAGCTTGTTTTTGCTCAACGAGTCGAACATGAACGGGCTCGGATAAAAGTAAACAAATGGTCTCGAACATTAGAAGATCTTGGATTTTTGCTTAACTTATCTCAATAATCCGGGTCAACTCTCAATCAAAAAAATAATATCCTTTCATTAATTATATAATCTACAAATAGTGACACAAAGAATCATATAGTATTAATATACTACACTACATTGCAGCTAAATTATTCCACTATTTAACCTTGCATATATTCCTCAAATTATGTACTATACATTAAGCCTTTTCCCTTGATCACAATATCTGGCTATAAGAATGTCTGTAAACCAACCACAAAAATCATCATGTGGAAATTCGGTTCAATTGGTCTCCAAATCATTGTCCGAAAAGCTCCTCGAAAAATACTTCGACGCTTTGGAGTTCGATTTTGACTACAACGAGAGCGCGTTGTGGTCCCCACTCGTTCCGAGACGGGCTTTTTTAGTCGTCGCGCCATTGTCGAATAGGAGCAAGAAAATGAGAAGCTTGAGGAAATTGACAAGTTGGTTTGGTGGGCTCATGGCATGCTTCAAGGTAGTGAATATATAGTATTTTTTTTTTTCCCCATTGATTCATGTATAAATATATATATATATATATATATATTTTT